AAAAAAAATTATACAAGCTTTGCGTTTTCCCCTAGATCCTGACTTTTTGCAGAAAATGCAAGAATCAAAAGCGTCACTTCTCAGTCACAGCAGAGCTTCTGAGATATGGCATAAATCTACGAGACGTACCTTTCTGATATCAACGTCGCACTTCATGATAGACTGATATGTGGTCTCATGTATCCCCGGCGACTCCATTCCAACGAAACTAGGTTGGAAGAGGACCTCGGGACAGCGGAAGCGCTCGTTTCCGATGGTGATGACCTGAGAAGAAAAATCTACAGGGCGAGATTTTTGTTAGCGGGACTGACCTGCCCATCTGGAAGCTCATAACTCTTTTCAAGCGAAGATGAGGAACTGGCAATGGCGAGTTCTTGTTCAAAGTCAAGCGCAACATAGCAAAGTTTCTCCTTGATGTCTCTTACAATTTCTCTTTCGGCTAAACATGCAACCTTATATTTCTTTCGCCTAATTCGTTAGCAACGTCAGCTCTGTCTGCTTTACAGCTAGCAGTTGAGTTGTGACATGAGACTCACCTGTTGTAGTAAAGGTGTAGCCACGCTCGGTAAGTATCTTCATCATGTAATCGGTGAGATCACGACCAGCCAGGTCAAGACGTTGAATGGCGTGAGGAAGGGCATAACCCTGCAAGTTAGTACTAACAAATTTGGCGTTTGAATAATAGCTTTCACTAACTTCATAGATGGGCACGGTATGGGTTACACCGTCTCCAGTATCGAGAACAATACCGGTAGTACGGCCAGATGCGTACAATGACAGCACAGCTTGAATGTTTACGTACATAGCTGGAGTGTTGAAAGTTTCAAACATAATTTGCGTCATTTTCTCTCTGTTGTTTTTGGGGTTTAAAGGAGCTTCCGTAAGAAGTACTGGGTGTTCCTCTGGTGCAATTCGAAGTTCATTATAGAACGTATGATGCCAGATCTTTTCCATATCATCCCAGTTTGTGACTATACCATGCTCGATTGGGTATCGAAGACTTAATATACCTCAAATAAAAGATTCCATTTTAAACCTCGCTGACCAATTCTCCACCCTGACCTCTTTTCGACTGTGCCTCGTCTCCAACGTAAGAATCTTTTTGTCCCATTCCTACCATTACACCTTGATG